GGATCAGTCAGTTAAGTGTCTGCCTTCTGCTCAGGTCATGATCTTGGGGTCCTGGGATGGAGCCTTGCATTGGGCTACCTGCTCAGCAGGGAGTCTGCTTCTCCTTCTTCCTCTGCCCCTCCCCCCTGCTTGTGCGTGCTCTGTCAAATAAAATCTTTGTAAAAAAAAAAAAAAAAGATATCCAGCTCCAGAGAGGGGCCAGAAAGCCAGACATGGGGGAGTTTGGAGGAATGTGAGGATGCTCCTGATGGAGGGCATGGCCTTTGACTCAGGGGGGTAGGTCAGGTAGCGGCAGTCCTGTGAGGGACCCAAGGGGCAGATGAGTCCCCTGCCTGTGGGCAGTCAGCCCGACCTTTAGCCAAAAGTAGAGGTCCCCTCGGTATTGCATTCCTCCTGCTGTCCCTAACCAACCCCGGGGTTGAGTCTGGTTATAAAGCCATGCTTGTCTTCACTGCGCCACAAGAGGGGTGAAGAGTCCACCTTGGTGGGAACATTAAGGAGGAGCAGTGGCCCCTCCCCCCAGCAATGGTTAGTGGAAAGAGAGCCACCAGGGAAAAGAGGACTGCTGGGGACAGGAGTCGTGACTGAGGGTCAGCCTCCCCATGTGAAAGCGCTCTCCTGGCTGCCAGCCCTGGAGGATGGAAATTAGGTTTTCTAGGAGGAATGGAGGCCCCACGGTGCCTCGGAAGGCAGTGTGGGAAGGACGTGGACGGTGGGCCCCAGCAGACCTGGGTTTCCGTCTCAGCTTACCCTCCATGCTGTGGGGCCTTGGCAACGACTTAACCCCCTGGTCCACGGTTTCCTGTCTGTGGAGTGGGGTGTGCCTCCCTCACTGCTGTTGCAGAGATGAAGCTAGGAGGCCTGCAGGGCTGGCGCTGGAGGGGGGTCGGGGGGGTGGCCTTCCCTGCAGGGAGCAAATCCAGGTGGAACCAGTTTATTCAATGGGCTGACCCGGGAAATGGCCTCTTCTTCATCTGCTGTCTTAAAGAACTTCCCTTTGGTTCCCTTCACATCTTGGGCAAATGCTGGAGTTTTCCAACTAGTCTTTTTTTTTTTTAAGTACCAGCCGCTTTAAAATTGAAACTCGGTCTCAGATATCCAGTCTGAGCTCAATCCAATCTAAATCCAGTCTTCAAGTTCACTTCTAATCAAAGCTCCGCCTCTCCCGCCCGCTCAGGCCTGGCCCTCCGCTCAGGGGCCTGCAGTGCGGGAGGGCCCATCTGTTCGCTCTTGGTCTGACATCGCTGGGCCCACTCTAACCTTTCTTTAGCTATTGCTGGTGACGCTGCCATGGCCACTGTTGGGACAGATGGGCCCTTTCATGGGGCCCCTCTCTGGGTGTTTGGAGACCACTGCCCTGCGCTATTCCCTCAGTGGGCATGCCCTCTCCATCCTACTGCCTGTGAGGACCTGGAGTGCTGCCCCAGTACCCTGCCCCTTAGCCTCTTACTGCTAGGGGCCCCTCCGTCCGGCAGAGTCTCTTCGGATCTGGCTGCCTTCCGCTCCACTGTGTCACTCTCACACACCCTTGAGGCAACAAGCGTCGACGGCAGTGCGGACTGCTCCCCCTTCCCACCCCTGCCTGCGTGGCCTGCTCCAGCCAGCCTCCCATCCAGAGAATTCTCCAACACAGTTTCAGACTCTAGGAAATGCCTCCGGCTCTCCCCAAACCGTCACTATACTGCAGCCAGTGACCCTGGCTGGGCCTGCCTGTGTCCATGGCTCGGCTAGCCTCCGGGGGTGAGCTGCCCGCTCTCTGCTGCAGCCTGAGGTGCTCTTGACCGCACCCCCATCACTTGCCCTGGGGGTGGGTGCGGGATGGCACAGCACCTTCTACTACAGAAGCTCTGCTGCTTCATGACCATCTCCCATTACCCCCGGATAATTTCTAGCCTTTCCATATAGCCTGGAGGTGTGGGGTGGGGTGTGCTAAATAACCAGACCCGTTTTGGTCTTCTAGTAATCCAGCATAGATGTATCTAGAACTTCTCTCTCAAATAGGGTATAACATACCACATGTCACTCTTAGCTTTGAAACTTCAGCTAAAAAACCTCAAGATTGGGAAAATCCCATTCAATATTCTCTCAGGCAAGTATTAATTTTCCAGGCTCAGGACTTTCCATTTCTTCCAGAATCTAGCAAAGGGATCCCCTATTAGAGGTGCTGTTTTTCCTCAGTGTGTAGAGGCAGTGTCCGGTAGAATGGTCTAGGCACCAGGCTAGAAGCCAGGACACATGTATGGTATCTATCCCCAAAAAGCTATACGTCATGTCCCCTCTGCCCCTGCTCCCTCACCTATACAGTGAGAGGTGGATTAGAATTAAGGTCCCTTACCATTAAGAGTCTAGTTTTTTTTTTTTACAGTTTTTCTTATGAGAGTACAAAAAAAAAAAAACCCTTACAAAACACACAGATAATTATACAACACCCATGTAACCACTATCCAGATTAACAAAACATTTCCAGCACCCCAGAGGTCCCTGTATCCCCTCCCGTTTAACCCCCTGCCACGCCCAGGGGAACTCCAAGTCTGACTTTTATTGAAATTACTTCCCTTAAATAAAAACTTAAAAAAAGGAGCAGGGGCACCCGGCTGGCTCAGTTGGGAGAGCATCCAACACTTGATCTTGGGGTCATGAGTTCGAGCCTTGTGTTGGGTGTAGAGATTACTCAGATAAATAAAAACTAAAAAAAAACCCAAAACACTTCCTTGATTTTTCTTATAATTTTACCAACCAAGAATGCATCCCTAAAAAAATTACTATAGTTTAGTTTTGCATTTTTTTTTAAGATTTATTTTTGAGGGGCACCTGGGTGGCTCAGTCGTTAAGCATCTGCCTTAGGCTCAGGTCATGATCCCGGGGTCCTGGGATCGAGTCCCACATCGGGCTCCCTGCTCAGCGGGAAGCCTGCTTCTCCCTCTCCCACTCCCCCTGTTAGTGTTCCCTCTCTAGCTGTGTCTCTCTGTGTCAAATAAATAAATAAAATCTTTAAAAAAAAAGATTTTTTTTGAGAGCGAGTAGCACGAGGGAGGAGGGGCAGAGGGAGAAGCAGACTCCCTGCTGAGCTGGGAACCCAATGTGGGACTCCATCCCAAGACCCTGGGATCATGACCTGAGCCAAAGGCAGACACTAAACCGAGTGAGCCACCCAGGCGCCCGGTTTTGAGTTTTTTATAAATGGAATAATACAGAAGGTGTTCAGCTTCTTCGTTTAACATTCTTTCTGTGAGGTTCATTCATATTATGAATATGTAGCTGTGGTTGATGCGTTCTCGTTGTTGTCTATTTCCTTGTATGAATAGACCGTGACTTGGGTATGGTGCTGGATATTTGGGTCATCGATCTAGGACTTCATATAAATGTGCTCACAGACACATAAATAACAAACACTTTCACTCCACATATAATCATATGGATTCAGAGCTGATTTCTTTGTGAATTCAAGAACTTGGGTTTGGCTTTTTTTTCCTAAGATTTTTTAAAAAAATTTTTATTTATTTATTTGAGAGAGGGAGAGGAAGAGGGAGAGAGCCCGAGCATGAGCACGAGCGGGGAAGGGGCAAAGGGCAAGGGGAGAAGCAGCCTCCCCACTGAGCAGGGAGCCCAACGCAGGGCTCAATCCTAAGGCAGATAGATGCGTAACCGACTGAGCCACCCAGGCACCCCTTGGGTTTGGCTTTAAAGTGTGGAAAAATCCCTCTGTTAAATTGGTTACGCTGCTAGTATGGTTTTGGTGTTTTTGTTTTTCCTCTCTTGTGGCCAAAATCTGAATCTAGGGATATAATTCATCTTCTTCAACTTGGGTATCGTCATAAGCTTTTCTCCTAACTTAAGTCATTAAGCATAAGATGAAGGCCGCGGTTAGGCAATTGAGATTTCCTCCAGGGAATCTAGAGAATGATTAGTGTATCGGCTTAAGGAATTACTGAAAACAATTTTTTCTCTGGCTCTTTTAAGGAAATAGTAAGCCAAAGGAGACAGAACTCTTCTCCATCGAGTTCCCAGGCCTGGCTCTCGCACTAGTATTAGCAGCACACAGGCAGCCCTCCTGACCTGGGCCATAAACGTCACAGGATGTCCCTGAACTTTTGCTGCATAGGGGCTGAAAGGTGCCACGGGACTGCTCAGACAGATGATCCATTTCCAGCTCGGGCTCCAAGCAGCAGTGAATCTTTGTGCCAAGAGACTAAACGCCCTCTATAACCAGAGTGAGGCAACCATGGGTCCTACGAGGAGACCACAGCGGCAGTGGGCTGAGAGCTCAGTGGGAGGGGCAGAGCTGGGCTGCCCTGGAGGGCAGGGGCCGGCAGGCACCGGTGGGAAATCAAGCCTTCTATGGAAGTGGGTTGATAGGGGTGCCTGGGTGGCTCAGTCTGTTAAACGGCTGTCTCCAGCTCAGGTCATGATCCCAGGGTCCTGGGATCGAGCCCCAAGTCGGACACTCAACGACAGAGCCAGCTCACTCTCTGAAGTATGTGGACTCATTCTCAAACAATCTTTTTGTCAGTTTCATAAACCCTCTTTCAGAGAGCATCGCACATAGCTGCCTGGACTGAACACACTCTACCTGGTCCCTAATAATCCCCGTTAAAGTGAAGCCTTTATGGAATTCGGTCCTAAGTAGGCCCATGTGTGCCATTGGTTACCTTTAAAAACAAAACAAAACATCTCTTTGTAGCTTTGTAGGTATCTCAGTGGTTTCATTTCCTGCATCTTTAGGGGTCCTTCCTAGTGACTATCCTGCCCCGCCCATTTCAATCTACAGATCCCCAAGACCAGGGGCTGTGTCTCCTCCAGCAGCTTAGGCGTTGCCCCGATCTGGAATCATGCCTAGTGCCAAAGGAGAGAGAAATGTCCAAGCACCGTTTCCCCTCCTCTGAGTGAAGCCACTCAGGGTGGAAGCCACGGCAGCACCTGCGTAGGCCCGCCCGGCTCGCCGCCCAGCAGGCGCCACCCGCCCAGCCAGGGCCTCGCTGACCCCTGCCCTGTCTCCGCAGGTTTCGGCATGACCACCCCCGCCACGGTGGGCGGGAAGGCCTTCCTCATCGCCTACGGGCTGTTCGGCTGCGCCGGGACCATCCTGTTCTTCAACCTCTTCCTGGAGCGCATCATCTCGCTGCTGGCCTTCATCATGCGCGCCTGCCGGGAGCGCCAGTTGCGCCGCAGCGGCCTGCTGCCCGCCACCTTCCGCCGCGGCTCGGCGCTCTCGGAGGCCGACTGCCTGGCGGGCTGGAAGCCCTCGGTGTACCACGTGCTGCTGATCCTGGGCCTGTTCGCCGTGCTGCTGTCGTGCTGCGCCTCGGCCATGTACACCAGCGTGGAGGGCTGGGACTACGTGGACTCGCTCTACTTCTGCTTCGTCACCTTCAGCACCATCGGCTTCGGGGACCTGGTGAGCAGCCAGCACGCCGCCTACCGGAACCAGGGGCTCTACCGCCTGGGCAACTTCCTCTTCATCCTGCTCGGCGTGTGCTGCATCTACTCGCTCTTCAACGTCATCTCCATCCTCATCAAGCAGGTGCTCAACTGGATGCTGCGCAAGCTGAGCTGCCGCTGCTGCGCGCGCTGCTGCCCGGCGCCCGGCGCGCCCCTCTCCCGGCGCAACGCCATCACGCCGGGCTCCCGGCTGCGCCGCCGCCTGGCCGCGCTCGGCGCCGACCCCGCGGCCCGCGACAGCGACGCCGAGGGCCGCCGCCTGTCGGGCGAGCTCATCTCCATGCGCGACCTCACGGCCTCTAACAAGGTGTCGCTGGCGCTGCTGCAGAAGCAGCTGTCCGAGACGGCCAACGGCTACCCGCGCAGCGTGTGCGTCAACACGCGCCAGAACGGCTTCTCGGGCGGCGTGGGCGCGCTGGGCATCATGAACAACCGGCTGGCGGAGACCAGCGCCTCCAGGTAGACCGCCGGGCCGCGCCACGGACCCTCGGCAGGCTGGCGTGCCGCCGGCCGTGGTTTGCTTTCCTTCTCTCAGACGCTGGCGCTTTCTTAATCTTTACCCAATAAAATCAAACCAAAAAAAAAAAAATTTTTTTTAAAGAAATACTACTTGGCCAGGCCTGATGTTATCCAGGGCAGGTTTCGGGGGAGCCTGTTTTCCTCGTGGGTCCCCTCTTGAAGAACCGTGGCCCCCGGCAGATTCTCCTCCAGGGAGAGAAAGTGGCACCCCAGACCCTCACCCGGTGCATATCGCAGCGAGGAGAGGGCCATCCCTGGGTTTTGCGGACTGGCTAAACCCCGTCCCCATGCACATAAGCAGCCGGCAACCCCAAAGCATATGGTGCAACTTCTCATGGCTCTGAATTACCTCCGCAGCATTTAGAATCCTGGCCCAGCCTAGCAGCTTCCTTCTGGTCGTCAGAAGTGATGTAGTCACAGTTTTGACAGGTGGGGGTGGGGAGAGCCATATGTTGCCTACCGATGTATATAAATAGAACAGCCGCTACACACGGAGAATGGTGTAGTATTATGCAATGAGATGAAACACAGCACCAACTTGCGGACTGTGGCATTTCCCCGAGATTTGGAAATTGGGATGGTAAGGGGCTCAGCTGGCCTTTCTCAGCCTGGGGTTGGTGCATTTAGCCCAGCACAAAGGGCAGCTACTTTTAATGCCGGAAACCCAGGGTGGCCGGCAGGGAGGGGAGCACGCAGGCTGCAGGAGCCCTGCTTTGCTTCAGCCAGCTGATCTCTGAGGCTGGGGGCCCATTTCAGAATCCCCCAACCCTCCTTCCTTTCACCAGCGTTATCCTTGGGAATGCTTTTCATTACTAATTAGGAATGTCTGGGTCTTCTCCGACAAGATCTTGCTTTGTTGGTGTGGATTTCGTTTCTTAACTGCCGTTGAGCAACTCGTTTTCCCCCTAAGGGTGCAGAGTGCAGCCTCCGGAACCCCCTTCTCCTCCTCTGAGTCAGGGCTCCCCAGCACCAGGAACCCACAGCAGCCATCCTGCAAATGTCCGAGAAGTTAGCTCCAGAGACCATAATGTTCTGGGGACAGATCCCATTCTAAACCCTGTTTGGCCTCCACTGATAGTCAAGTGAATTTGTTTTCTCCACTCACAGTCTGTGTTGGAGGTGGAGGAAGGCGGGGGGCGGGGAGCTGATGGAATGGGTGGATGGAAGCGGTTTTGGAATTAGTTTTGAGCTGGATGATCCTCAAGCTGAGGGACCGGTTCTCCGCCCACTGCTGCAGAGGGGTCCCTGACCTGGAGGAAGGTCAGATGCTTTCTTCATTGAAAGGATGGGGTTCTTGAACTGTAAAGGAACAATGCTCTTTCGGCCCATTTTCCTCATCTAAAAAGATGATCCCAAGACAAATGCCAGAGTCTAGTCAGACACGGTGTGACCCACCAGTATCTACAGCTTCTGCCAGGAAGTCTTAGAAAAGCAGCAGGACGCCTCACACCGCATGCCTGCGAGGCATGGGAAGCCGTGAAATCTCCCTCCCCGGCAGCGAAGGAAGCATATGTGCCTGGAACACACACACACATGCACACACACCCACATGCACACACATGCACACAGCATTAGGAGTCCTGCTTGAATGTCAACCTCCCCTCTCCCCCTCCAGTTCATGACCAGAAGGGGAAAATGTGTTGGGATCTGAATGACTCTCTAGCTACTCTAGGTAATTTCTCATTGGGATTGGGATTGGGATTTCAACAAAGGCCCTAATCTGCGGGTGAGGCCAGTGAGGCAGAGCGGCCAGGAGAGAGGTCAGTCTTGCTAAATCCTGAAGGGTAGGCTTCCAGAGAGCCACGCTTCAGGAGTCACCGGGACGGGCGCTCAGGCCAGCTGGTGGCACCCCTGCCCCGCCCAAGCCATGGCTTCGTTCACACTGCAGTGACAGCACACCGAGAGACGCACACGCACTCTAGGCCAAGGCTCTCTCGGGGGGCCTAGAAATTAAGTGCCATGCCCATCCCTCTAGGAGAAGGGAAGATGAAAAGGAATCCAGTTAGAGGTGTCACCCAGGCAACGAGCAATAACTTGGGGATCTGAAGCATACAGAGGGGGTGAGATTTCCCCATGATGGAGGCATCTAGACCAAGAGGACTTGACAGCAGGCAAAACGGCAGTCAACCCAGTGAAGTGAGCCCCAGCAACAGCACAGGAAGCTTAAGACCTAGCTAACGAGGTTCTCTGAGCTAGACAGGCCAAGAGGTGTCCAGGGGATCCCACTGACCAGCGCACAAGACTGCACAGAACCGTGTCTCCACGGGAGGGAGCAGGACCCACCTACAGAGAAGAAAACCTCACAACCTTCCTTGGCAGTCTTCTCTGTCAGCAGTGCTTCTTAAAGTCTATCTTAAATTGCTCATGCTGCAGCCTTAGCTGTTTTCACTTCTATGCTTTGCCTTTGGAAGGAGACAATTGTGAGCAGCTTGAGCAAGCTTCTGAAGGAGCCATAAGCCTGGCTTAATGGGGACAGGGAAGGGACCCTTCCCTCTCATCAACCTCCCAGAGAAACACCAGCCCTCCAACATACAAAAGTAGCTCAGGATCCCATGGCGTGCTTGTATTTTTGCCCATGTTCCCCTAGTCCCCCCACCCAAATTCATTCCCTGGTTGTCCTTCACCTCAGGCCGAAGAGCTCAGTGTCCCAAGTGTCAGTGGCTGCTTCTTGGGGGGGAAAAGCCGGGCTCCCAAAGTTAGGGGGATTGCTGGAGCCTAGACCCCTGCCTCAAGCTTACTTGGCATCCTGTTGAGCGTTGAATACCAGGACTGGGATCCTACCATCATTTCAGGAATAATGATGTTGATAGGAAACCCTTTCTTTGGTGCAGGTTCTTCTGAACCTCAGGTTAAGCAAAGGCTCCATCCTCTTAGATGCTGTGGCTTCTCCCTTCATGTGGGGATCTCCAGTTTGACCCACGGCTGGTAGCTCCCTGCAGTCTATGACTCCCACCCCCCAACTCCTGGGATTGCTGTCTCACCTTAGGCCTATACTCACCTCTCTGGGGCTGGGGCTTTGGGGCTCTAAGCAGCCCTTGCCACCTGCTGTGGTGACACAGAGGCCAGGGTCTTAGTGAGCAGCTGGGACTTCTCTGGGATGAGCAGACAGGTAGGGAAGCCCCCCCTGATGTCCTTGCTTGCTAATGAGGCCAGGTGGTCAGGCTCCTCTGTCTTCTGATCGAAGCCAGAGCCCCCGGGGCCTGGAGAAAAAGTCAGAAGGCTCAGGCTGTGTCAGGCCCTCTGCTTGTGGAAAATGCCAGACAGTCCTGGGCATTTGCCCAGGAGCTTCACACATCACAGCATCATGTGTACTTACACGCGTGCGCGCGCACGCACACACACACACACACACACACACCAGCCTTACCAAGAGCTACTAGCCCCTTTCCCCAAGGAAAAATCCCAGTCTAGATCACGTTGAGGAGAAAGCTTTCCCATTTTTAACTCCCTGGAGATCTACTAGGGCCTGGAAAATTCCTCTCCGCCTTGGGGGAGTTTCGCGTACACTTTGCATGAATTTGAATCTGTGTTTTACATAGAAGCCGGCGTCCAAACCCAAGCCAAACCGTGGAAGATAGCTGCTAAATTTACGCAGGCTCCTCCACCCCTCAGACAGGCCTCCTAGCAGACGCCCTCTTCCTGCGTGCTCCGGGGTGAGGGTGGCTGAGGCCTCACAGCCAAAGGAGAAGCTTCTGGGGAACCGAGGCAGATGGAAGCCCACAGAGGTGGCGGCGGCCCCGGGAGCTGTGGGCCAGCGGGTTCCGTCTTACTGTAACTTTTTACCTTTTTAACAAACGAAAAGCACAATTCCACCCGCACACTGTCTGGAAAGCACAGCCAGACAGACTGCTTAGGGCCCTTCTGAGTCCAGAAGAGGCGCTGGGGCTTCTCTGTTGCAGGGCTGCGGTACTGCGAGCTGCTCGCGGGGCGGCCGGAGGCGGCCCGCTCTGCGGCCCGGGGTGGGGGAAGGGCTGCGGAGACCATTCCCGAGCCAGGGCCGGCTCCTCCGCGCGGACTCGGGGCCTGGACTCGTGCCCCCTCCCAGGAGCAGCTCTGGCACCTTCAGGCACCTCCTTAAGCGCTGAGAAGCCATGGGATTTCTGTACTCACGGGCCCGAGACCCTTCTCCCCTTTCCTTCAGCCTCTTCCTCCTCGCCCCCCCTCCCTAGGGAAGCTCCCCCTCGCTTTACAGATCATTTTCTATGCTACTGTGTTCTCTCAGGAGGGGGGTTAGAGCATGCGGGGCAAGTCTGCAGGGTTTCTTAAACAATACATTTATTTTTCTGAGCAGTACTCCAAGAGAGGAGTTGAAGGGTGTTGAAATTAACGATGAATAAAATGCAGCCTGCCATCCCTTTGAGCTGTTTGCTGTCTGTCTGTCAGAGCCTCCTGCCTCCCCACCTCCCTGATCACACCTCCTCTCAGGGGCCCCAGGAGACCTCAGCTCCTCAGATTGGGCCCCAGCAGCAGCTCCCTGGGGACGTTTACTCAGCAACACAACGGTGACATCCATCTGAGCCAGGAGGTGCCAATGGATCTCGCGGGCAGCTTGACCCAATTGGGTGGGGCCAGTTTCTAAGAGCGGAGCCTGGTGGGAAGATGGGCACGGAGGAAACTTGGCCCCATTGTGGTAGCAGTTGCCAACCCTGGTGATGCACAAGATTCTCCAGAGGCAACTTGAGAAGATACTGATGCCCAGGCCCTACCCCACCCCTACTCCCCACCCCTCATCTCTCCCACCCCCACCTACCCCCGCCCCCTGTCCCGCTCCTGCCTCTGGCCCCCCGGCCCGAGATCCTGATTTCAGTCCTAGGAGGAGCTCAGGCAGACACTGGAGTTTTGTGGAAGGTGCCCAGGTACTCCTAATGGAGTGTCTTGAACCCACACTCTAAACACAGAGCACTCTGGTCATTGTGTGGAAAGCGCACCCACTTAGAAGCCAGGAAGCCTGAAATCTAGTTCCGCATCTGGCAGTCACTCTGCTGGCTCAGATCCTTTAATTTTCTCATCTCTAAAATGGGATAATGATACCATGTACACCACCCCCCACATCAGGAGTCTTAGGAAAAGTAAATGAGAGGCTGAGAACTGAAAAGTGTCAGCTCTCCACAAATGCAAAGGGTTGCCCTGAGAGGGACCAGGTAGCCCTTACTGCTTCTGCAGGGCCAGCCGGGGAAGAAGGTTCCATCTAGATGATTGCTTCTGCCCGTGGTGCCATCATAATAGTGCAAACTCCACAGCATCCCTGGGTCATCCTTTTCCCTGGGGTGCCCTCCCTGGAGTTGAGAAGTAGTTTACAGGTCACTCAAGTACGGCCCCGCCCACCTCAATCTACAAAATCACTCTCTCTCCCCTAACCCCAGAGGTCTCATGGCACTGTAGTGACCCGCAGTATCCTATTTTCCATTCTCTTTTGTTTTGTCTTAATGCCGGTTAAAGCTGTTAAATTGATTTCCTGATGAATCACACCCAGCAGTTTGAAAAACACTGGCCTGCAGTGTTTCTGGAATGAAAGAGTCCTCTTACCCTGCTTCCAGCTAAGACCCATTCACCAGCTGTGGCGTGGGAGGGGCCTGGCTTCTGGTGCCCCTCAACCCTCCTGTCTCTCCGGGCCCTGGGCCCCAGCTGTGTAATCAGCTCAGGCGGGGGATTTACCTGCACAAGGTGCTCCTTACCTTCTTTTCAAATGGGAGGCCTATGATTCTTCTGCCATTTTAGACCCGCTGCCAGCCATGCCCAACGGACTGGCAACCCTCTCCCTTCTATGGTCAGTTACCTTTCTGTTCTCCTGAGGAGAAGATAAGAAAACAGAACTTATATTTTCCAAGCCAGGCCCTTGGACGAGAGTTTGCATATTTATCTCATTGTCCCTTACCTACCCTAGGAATTTGGTACTTTCCCCCATTTTGTCCTGGGTCACAGGGGTAAGTAACTTGTCTAATTTAAGGCCAGCCACCCCCCTCTTGTTAGGAGCTGGAGAGACATGGCCCCAGAATTTTTTTTTTTAAATATTTTATTTATCTATTTATTTGAGTGAGAGAGAGAGAGCATGCACAAGCAGCGGGGAGGGACAGAGGGAGAAGGAGAATCAGACTCCCTGCTGATCAGGGAGCCCCATGTGGGGCTTGATCCCAGGACTCTGAGATCATGACCTGAGCCAAAGACAGACGCTTAACCGACTGAGCCACCCAGCCGCCCCAGGGGCTGGAGAGACATGGGAGAAAGACAGCACAGTCCTCACTGTCCCTGACCTCCAGGCTCGTGAGACTGGGCACCGCAGTTACGCAGGATGGGTGCCACAGATCTACGGGACAGCCTGGGCTGTGGGAGTACCCGGGGGAGGCAGCCAGCCCACTGCCCCGCCGTCAGGAAAGGCCCTCAGAGGCAGGCTGTCCAAGCTGAGCGTGCTGACGAGGGGCAGGAGTGTCCCAGCCATGAGCAGTGGCAAGTGACAAGACCAAAGAGGGAAGGACATGGAGTGCTCCCTTGGCTGTAAGAACTGGAGTCTGGGCTGTCCATCGACAGATGAATTGATAGAGAAGATGTAGTATATATATATATAAACACAGTGGAATATTACTCAGCCATCAAAAAACTGAAATCTTGCCATTTGCAACGACGTGGATGGAACTAGAAAGTATTATGCTAAGCGAAATAAGTCAATCAGAGGAAGACAATTATCATACGATCTCATATGTGGGATTTAAGAAACAAAACAGGATCTCAGGGGAAGAGAGGGAAAAATAAAACAAGACGGAATCAGAGAGGGAGACAAACCGTAAGAGACTCTTAATCATAGGAAACAAACTGAGGATTGCTGGAGTGGAGGGGGGAAGGGGTAGTGGAGGGATGGGGTAACTGGGTGATGGACATTAAGGAGGGCATGTGATGTAATGAGCACTGGGTGTTATGTAAGACTGATGAGAAAACCTTGGGGTGCCTGGGTGGCTCAGTCTTTAAGCGTCTGCCTTCAGCTCAGGTCATGATCCCAGGGTCCTGGGATCGAGTGCCGCATCGGGCTCCCTGCTCCGCAGGAAGCCTGCTTCTCTCACTCTGCCTCTACCTGATGCTTCCTCTGCTTGTGCTCTCTCTCTCTCTCTGTCAAAAAAAAAGACTGATGAGTCACTGAACTCTACCTCTGAAACTAATAATATACTATATGTTAATTAATTGAATTTAAATTTTAAAAAATACAAAAAATAAAAAAAGAACTGGAGTCTGGGCAAAGCAAATTATATCCCTGGCCTCTTGCTACTCCATTTGGAGGGAAATGTTCACAGAACGGATGTTGATGGAATCACTAAAGAAAGGCTCAACGAGGGGCCACGAGGGCTCCCCTCTGCCCTGTGGCTGCCTCTCGCTGATGGCCAGCAGGCCTCTCCCTCTCACTGGGGCTCCTTGTCCATGTCAGCCCTGTGAGGGCCGGGCCTTTGGGCTCTGTCACTCTGAGGCTCAGGAGAACAGGGGGTGAGGGGAGAAAAGAAGGAGTCCACGGGGATTCCTTTAAGAACCACACTTAGCAAACATCTGCCGAGTGCCTAACCCAACATGGACCATTTGTGCCGCTTCTTTCTCCATGGACTGCGCTGAGCAGGACCGGCCAGCTGGATGCAGGATGGAAGGAAACGCGCCCGTGGCAGGCTGGCTGGCTTCCTGCTGAAAACTGCAGCTTCCACACACACTCCCACCCTGTGCGAACCTCTGTGAGCTCCAGGCCTTTGTCTTGACGTGTCTCTGCTTCCTCCAGGACCAATACAGGACCGTGCTGGAGAGCTGCCCTGTCGGGTGCAGCGCCCACCAGCCACACACAGCTATTTCCATTCAAATGAATTTAAAATTAAATTTAGTTAAATGGCCAACTCAGCTCTTCAGTTGCAGAAACCACATTTCAAGTGTTCAACACTCACATGCAGCTAATAGCTACCATGTTGGACGGTGCAGATAGCAAGGCCTGTTACATAGGGCTGCTCGAGAGAGCTCCGGGGTCAGAAAGCTCCAACTCCAGGGCCGCCCTGGGGCGGGGCGGGGGGGCGGGGGGGAGTTGGTATTTAATCTCAGCAGCCAGTGAACATGGGAGTTTATAGACCTCTTCTACCCAACCCCCATCCTCTCTGTTCCTCCCCCTCAGATGGCTCCAGATCAGGTTCTTCAAGTCCTTCTCTTCTTCATCAGGTCCCAGCCCTGCTGGCT